GGAATCCTAAGAACATTTTTTCTTGAATTGGCTTCATTATTAACACTCGCTCAGGCTTAATTTATGTGATTGATGCGAGAATCGAAAGCCTTTGTTTCGCTCTTAACGAGCTTTGTGCTGGCTTTGAGGTGTCTGCTTCCATCCATGTTAAAAGGCTTGCGTCCATTGTTGACAAGATTATTTCTTTATCTCCTTGTTGCGGTAATGTCACTCAAATTATGACTCGATATTTACATCTTATTGTCAATTCACGAGATTCGTGGCGTTCGATTGTGTTTCTTCAGGACCAAGCCAAGAAAGAGCTTTTGTTTTGGAGGGACGATTTGAGAAATTTAAATGGTGCTTCATTTTGGTCTACCCCATTCGTTCCTTCCAAGATTGTCTTCTCCGACGCTTCTTCCACGGGATGTGCTGCCTACATTCAAAGTTCTTCCTTACTTTTTCACAGGAATTGGTCTGCAACTGAGTCGCTAAAGTCTTCTACTTGGAGGGAACTAGCTACGGTTAAATATTCACTTGAGGCTTTTAATAACATTTTAGCCGGTCATAGAGTCCGTTGGAATACTGATAATCAGAACGTTGTGAGGATTGTTCAGGTCGATAGTATGATAGAGGAATTGCAAGAATTGGCTCTTGATATTTTCCTGTTCGCTTCCAGTCATAACATTCGTTTGGATCTCACCTGGATTCCGCGCGATCAGAATTTGGAAGCGGATCGTTTCAGTAAAGTTGTCGATATTGACGATTATTCTGTTCATGATGATGTTTTTATTCATCTCGACCGTCTCTGGGGTCCACATTCTATAGATAGATTCGCGTCTAGTTATAACGCTAAATTGCCTTGATTCAATTCATGTTTTCTTCAATCGGGTACTGAAGCTGTAGATGCATTCTCCCAAGATTGGTCTTGTGACAACAATTGGATTGTTAATTAAGTTGAAGGAAGATAGTGTGCTGCGACTAAACAAAATGTTGCTGCTTTTGCCGTGATGCCGTCCACTAATGTTCTGGAAAATTTAAATTTATGTCCTTGCAATGGGAATAAATGGCAATTGTAACAATCTATTTTCACTGGAAAAGCTCCAGAAAGTATTAATAGTGGTTTTTTTTTTCTTGCAAACTTTTGTACATAAATTGCTTTCGTTAGAAATTTTCACGTTGGGAAAGAAAACGACTCTCCATTGCTAGCTAAAGTGCTCTATGTACTGGGTGGAGTTTTGAATGGAATGGCGGGTCGATGAGCTCGAGAGTGCTCTAATGGAGCATTTCACAAGTAAGCACCTTTTTTCTTTACTTTGCTGGTAATCCTCCTTGTATTTTCTTGTTGAGTTTTTTGTTTCCTAGTTTTGGCCTAACATTAACTATATTCTTCTTTCTTCTTAAGGATACGGGCAAGTCATTTCCTAGAAGATCGTTAATCTCAAGGTAAGAGTAACATAGTCAGATTCTATCTGAAGATATTGAAAATAAATGAACGGTAATTTTGACTTTCATTGACAGTCTACATCCCAGAAATGGTTCGCTGTGGTTAAAATGATGACTTTCAGGGGAGCACAGCTTACATACTTGAACAGAGAGAGGCCGGTAAGATCTAGCTTTCTTTTCAAACTACAATAGCACTTCACCAAGGTCTACATCCGCTTTCAAATCTTAAGTGATCTTGAGGACCTCTTTTTGTAGACCCCTTAAAATTAAATTCCACCATTGATTCTCAAACCTGGAGCGAGGAACATTGAAGGTGTGCATCGAGTCAGTTATTTCTATTCCGTAGTGCAAATGCAAATCTTTGTAGAGTGGTGTTATTTGATGTATATCGATATCAGTTGTCCTGTTAAGATGCTATGCCTTCTGTCATTTTTCTGTAGGAGGTATGCTGGTTCGCAGGGATCCATTTAAAGATTGACTTTATGAAAACCAGGAAAGCTACATTCAACCAGAGGTACTGCAAATACTTTGTTTAACTTATTATGTCACCTTGGCTACAAGCCAATGGAAGTGTCGTATGTTATCAAACGGAAAGGACCACCTTGGACTTGGTTGCTTTGCGGTGAGAAGTAATCCATTGCATTGAAAAGCCGAACAATGGGGACTTGAATACTATCTTTTACATTTCTATAGGGAGAAACGATCTGACGGGTGTAGTTTAAACTGGTTGAAACCTCACCGGTTTGAACCATTTTTGGAATCCACTCCACGGAGGAAGAAGCCCACATAAGCAAGCAAAAAAAGGAGAGGGGAGCTTGCGTTTGGCCTATGGAACCCTCGGTGGAATTGGAGGAAAATTAAGGTCATTATCATGCTAATAATAGTATAGAAGTAAAATGATGTACAATCACCTCTTCTACAATAAGAAAACTTCTAAGCTTGATGTTGCTAATTACTATTATATGTCCACCTGCATCATTTTGTCTCCCGATTGCCATGTGCATCTAGTTAAGGAAAGACAGCCCAATCATTTTTCATCCCCGCAAAGTTATCATTGTTCACATCGGCAAAATACTTTAAATCAATATGTTATGCATGATGCACAACAAGCTTATACCAAGAAAAACAAGCATGATCCTGAACCAGAAAGTTAAATTCAAAAAAAAAAAAAAAGCAAAATTTTGCTAACCTATTACTTTGCCACGCAGAAATCCACCACTACACGTGCTCTAAAAGAATCACCATCTATAGTGTCAGCAACAGATCTCAGGGAGTTGATCGCGTTTTTTAAGGAATTGGATTCTAGATTCCGGGAGGTCCATATTGGAACTCAAGACGTAGTGCACAGTGTTTCCTAATACGGACCGATCTATGCGGTGAATAAAAAGATTATTTTTCTATAAAACTGAACTAAATGCTTGCTGAGAGGACAAAGTTGATTTTGGGTTGTAATTGTGGCAAGATCCTCGATAAACTGAACAGTTCTTGAGCGAGTACATAATATTAAAAACAGATGTTACTCTGCGGTATCTATTGCAACATTTACTCATCGAATTCCAGCTAGACGTAAGGATTTGTAGAATACCGCTTGCTCACCAACCGAGAAAAAAATTACTAATATTATCAAACAGTGGATTCCAGAGGGTGCGCCAACGTAAAGGGCGTAGCCACAATGGCTAATGGCTATTCCTTTGACTAACGATATTACATTCTCCCAAAATCTTCAGGGGAAAACTTTGGCGAACGCGAAACCAAGGAAAAGTTGCGTGCAGGTTCAGAAGAACCAATCGTGAATCCTGAGGCAGTGGAATTGTCTACGAAGGCAATTGGCATGGGCGCCACATCTCGGGGAATATAAAGGTAAGTACCATTCATTGGGAAATGAGGTAGCAGAGGTGGCATGCAAGGAGTTCATGGTCTCATTCTCGGTAAAACAGAAGTTGAGAATGAAGAAGGAGATAGAGTGTCTGAAAAGACTGCGCCATCCTAACATACTTGCGCATTTCAGGGTCGACTTCACTCGCTCGCTGCTAGTAACAGAGTTGCTCAAAAAGGGAATCGAAATAGACGGAGAATTATATGAGATTCACAATGCCAGAGAGTTGTTGGATCTACAGGATGTAAAGCCCATTTCCTGGTCAACACGCTTACAAATTATGTGGGGAGTAGCGAGTGGTTTGTCATACCTGCATGAGAATAGGATCGTTCATTGTGATCTGAAAGCTGCAAATGTATTCATCGGTGACAATGGTCAAGATAGTTACCTTGTTAAACTTGGTGACTTTGGTACTGCTCTCTTCGATTTTGCACAATTTTCAGTTTCCGTCATGCCATCTGCATCTAACACTGACTCGGTTATGTGCACAGCTGCGTACACCACTCCGGAACTTCTTGAGAGGGCTTCTAGACCATCTTACGCCAGCGATATCTACAGCTTTGCAATGGTTATGACCGATTTTAGCTTGCCAAACCGATCAACTCCTTGGGAGGGAGAAGTAGCAAATTCTTCCATTATTTACGACTTTGTGCGCAGAGGAGAAAGACCCACTGTAACTTTAGAAGATCTGAGTGGGTTAGAGTCTGAAAACGCAACAAAGTGGATGTCACTTCTCCATGAATGTTGGCAACAGGATCCCTCGAAGAGACCGACAAGTGTTGAAGTGGATTTGAAGATTTCATCACTCCAACAGCAGGAATTAGGGGAAAACAGCTGCATTCGCTTCCAAGAATGGAAGTCGAAGAATCCAAACGTGCTGTTCACCTCCTTGAATACCCACCAAGGAATGGCAATTGAAGTCATAGACGAAGTTGTAAGCAGTTTTGCATCCAAAGGAACTCCAATCCCGTCAGACCTTAATCAAGACTTAACAGAGAACCTCTATGTAAACGACGGAAGCAACGCGTGTGTTTTCCTTTGTTCTAAAATTGCAGACGATCTCTTGAAATGTTCGGAATTATGTGGGCAGGACAAGCATTTCATCATTGAACGTGTTTCCAGCGAAACAATAAGGACGCTCCCCAAGCACATCAATCCTTCCCGATCAATCAGTGAATTTGCCGCTGTTGACGAAGCACTCGCTGTGATGACCCTAAACCATGTCATATGTACTAGCTATAACACGACAGAACTTTTAGAGAAGCAGTCCTCGCAGTCACTTCAGGAGAAGAAGAATTATTTGAAAAGAGCTCTTATATCTCTGGAGCTGGTATCTAACAGTGACGGGAAGGCGTTCGCCATTTACCTATGTCCACCATTAGCTATCCTTATAGGAGTGATACTTTCCTCGTTTGTCATTGTGGATACTCATAAGGTACCGGAAGAGGCAGGTGGCACACAAAGTGGTTTGTTGGTGCAATTCGATTGTGAAGCTGATGAAATAGACACTGTTTTAGATAATATGGTTGATTGGATTTCTATGAGAATGGAAGTATCGATTCCAAACTATTCCATGCAACTGCATTCGTTAACCCTCCTCGAGGAAGCTGATCTTTGCACTGGCGCTTGCGATTTGGATGATGAAGAACTTTTAAACGCCAGCTTGGAATTCGAAAGAAATGAATCGCTACTTCCGTCTTCTGAAAGCACTGGAGAAATTTTCAGCAAAAATAAACCATCCCAGGGCCTCGAACAAGACCAGATAAAGATGACAAATGCCACTCCTCACTTGTCCGTAACAGATGAGCAAAATTCCAAAAGTAGCCCAGAAGGAGAAGAAAATTTCCACGTTTCAGAGGTAAATACCGAAACCGAACAAAACGAATTAGTCGCACGTGCATCTGAACCATTGGACTGCGCAAGGACAAGTTGTTTAAGCTACACACTACCTGAAGATCTTCCTGATGTGATCGAAGAAGACCTGATTGTTGGGAGGGGGCATTTGACCAGATTTGGCTTAAGTAAATTCGAAAATTTCCAGTTGCATGCTATTCAAAGCGTTTGTCTTGGACGAGATACAATAGTGGTGTAACCGACGGGCAGTGGCAAGAGTTTATGCTTTCAGTTGCCTTCTCTCATCGATCGTAAGAAGTTCGTTGTCGTTGTAAGCCCTACAATATCGCTTATAAACTCACAAATAGAAAGGCTAAAGAGCCTTGGCATAGATGTGTTTTCGTTAGGAAGAGCAGCAGGAATCGAGTCACACCTTAATCACGAAAGACTATTTTCCGCAGACGGCAAGCGCTCCTTCCCGTCTGTTGTTTTCATGACTCCAGAGCATTTCAATTGCGTTCAGTACAATTTGGAGCAAAATAAGGATCATATCAAATTAATAGTCTTGGACCAAGTACACAAAATGTTTGATAGAAATTCTGATTTTCGATCAAGTTACGATTTCTTTGAGAATATCAAAGATACCTTTAGTGGAGTACCTGTGATGACATTAACTGCCACCCTGAGCCAGGAACAGTTACAAAGTCTGTGTAATGACTACTTAAGAAATCCTGTTTTGATCAAAGGATCAATCAACTGCAGCAACATCAAGTTGAACATCAAGCCCTATGTTACACCAGTAAAGCAGAGGTCCGGTAAGAACGAAAAAGCTAAGTCAGCGGTTGACGTCTGGTGCACATGCGCAACCGATATTAAAACTATAACAAAAGATGAATATGCAATAGTGTACATGGATTTTCGAAACGATGTGAAGTTGATGACGTCATCACTAAGGACGCTAATTGGAGAAGACAATGTTAGACCCTTTTATGGAAAAGGAATGACGCACGACGAGAAGAGGAAGACTGATTCTGACTTCAGAGCAAAGGATTTTCAAGTTCTGGTTGCCACTGAGTCGTATGAAGTTGGAACACATAGTCCACACGTGAACAACATTTTCCGAGTCGGTTGTATGCGCAACCTAAGTGTTAACGTACAGGAATTTGGCAGAGCAGGACGAAGTGGTAATGACGCCGATGGATTTCTCCTCGTCAACGAATCCAAAGACGATCAGCGATTGAATTTCTGGACACAAAGCTGCTCGAAGACTGAAGAAAAACACATGAAAGATGAGTTTCTTGAATCATGGCGATGGATATACTCTATGTACTCTGGGAGATGCCTGAGAGATGTGTTAATCAGCAAGTTTGGAGAGGGTGAGTTGGAACTGCAATGCAAAGATGCATGTTGTTCAAGTTGTGATATCAAAAGAAAAAGAGACTTCAACGCAAAGCAAGCGATCACCCTTCTTATACAGGCCATTATTGACTTTGGAAAACTAATAAAATATCAGAATGGTGTGAGAGAGGAAGAGTTAATCGCATGGTTAAGAGGAAGTAAGAGGGATAAATTCTCCACACCAGAAATGCAGATGGTCATGGAAAAGTCTCGTTCCTATTCTGCTGGTTCGCAGCTGGCGGGGCTGAAATGTTCCAATGATTGGTGGTCAAGAGTGTTATGACAGTCAGTAAATCTAGAGTATGTAGACATCAACTTCAACATAACTAGATGCGACTCGTTTAACAGGGTGTGGAGACAATACAAAGTTTCCGAGAAAGGTAAGGAATTTTTGCACTGTCCGCGCGACGTACTTGTTTTAGATCCTGCGGTCGATCCTTTGAACGAGGAAACAAAAGAGAAAGCCGCCATAACTAACAAGAAAAGGAGTGGACGTGGACACCATCACTTACCAAGTTAAAAGAGGCTTTGAAGCATTCTGATACATGGCTCAAGCTGAGAGACAAAGATCAATATGAATTTCCCGGATTCGAGACTGACCCACAGTCCTCACAGAAACCACTGGCCTACGTAGAAGATTGGCGCAAGTTGCCTTTTGCAGCCAGCACTCGGCCACATTTTATCTGGGATGACAACCAATTATCAATAAGAGGCTCACAAACAACAAAACACGACATAATCATAGAAGGTAAGAATACATCTTTGAACGTGAGACGGGGACCTTGTGAAGGCGTGAAAACTTGTGCTGGCCCTGACTATGACTATGTGGTCTCTAACAGACAAAAGATAAATCGCTGCGTACGACACAGGGAAAATTATTCTCTGCTTTCATCTGGAGCATGTACTGCGCATATGGTGTACATATGGCCTTGCAATGACGATGGAAGGCGATGGGTTGGTGTTGTACCGGGAACTGGACACAATCACAATAAACCAGCTCCACACAACATGTCAAGCAAAGTGAAAGAGGACATCCAAAGAGTGGTTTCCGGTGACAGCTCCAAAAAGACTAAAGACATCATGAAGGGCCTTGGAATTGGTTACGTCCCAGCCGAAGCGAGTTCGCCTGCAGCAAATGCCGATCATGTTAGAAAAGAGAGGAAGATAGCCCTTGGCAAATGGACGTCTGTTCACAGAGAGATACGCCCACTCGACGAGGTACTCCAGTTCGATAAAATTCAGAAAAAAGTGGAAAGCAACCAGTTGTATGGTGATTGCAGCATGAATATCAGCGATAAAGTCAATCAGATGATGGGTCAATATCAGATGGAAGGGAGCGAGTACCTCTTTACTCCTTGCAGAAAGTATGCATTCTTCATGGCTCCATTTCAGTCTGCACTGTTGAGTACAGCAGAGGATTTATTCATGGACGTTACTTATACTGGTAATGACTTCTTCCCATACCTCCTAAACGTTGTTTCTTTTAACGACGAAACGTGCGTGTATAATGCCGTAGCAAGAGTTTTATGTAGTATCCAACACAGTGAGACCTACGCTAAATCCATCACCACGATTTTTCAAAAAGTGATGGTTGATCATGCCCGCTTCACGAATGGCAAGAATTTAAGATCTATCTTGGTTGACTTTGATGATGGACAATACAAAGGACTTCAACAGTGTCTGGGTGAAGACCTTTCCCTGAAAGTGATCAGGGGATGCACGGTTCACTGGCAGAGATCAGTTAACAGAGTCTGCAAACTAGTTTGCAGGAATGATACTGAAGTTCGCATATTTAAAGCCCTAGCAAGCAAAATCGAAGACGAGAGCAAGAAAGAAAATGTTTTGTTGCTTTTCGACATGCTCTCTGGCACCAGACAACTACAAGAAGCAAGGCAATTAGTTGGCAAGGACCTATTCTCGGGATTTGACACCGTGCACAACAAAGACTGGATAAAGCTAAAGCATTGGAGTAAATGGTGGTGCTGTGTAAATCACCTGACAATGTTTACAAGGGCTTTTAAGGAAATGGACGACAAGGATTGGGAACAGGGACCTAGTACTACCAATCCTGTCGAGTCTTTAAACAGGCAGTCACTTCAGGAAGGTGGTATTATACTTCATGCTTTGATGGAGAACATTTACCTGGAAGATCGCCTCCACGCTGTGAAAACAGCAGCTTGCAAAGAGAACGTCACAACATCCTACAAATCATCACCTGGAAAGCAGAAGGCCAAACGAAAGCGCACAAGTGAAGGCAAATGTGGTGACGAAGGTCCGCCGGATGAGCGCAGACATATACTAAGCAGTAAAAGGAAACCGAACGGACGAGCCTTGATCAACCGTTTAATTGAAGTGGAATATGACGAGAAGGACCAATCAGGTGACGTTACAAAGTACTGGGGATGGTGTAAAGGACAAATCGTGGCCTACAGAAAACATGAAGGATACTTGGTTAATTTTGCCGATCGAATTGACAGCAATGGAAGAGTCATTGAAGGCTGGTCAGACTGGATCGAGGATTTGAACAATAAAGATGTCTGTCTGTTGGCCGAGTAAAACTGACAAGCCACACCGTTAAAACATCTAATGAACAGTTGCTCTACCAAAGTACAAGACTCGAAGTCACACCTTTGGAATTACATAACGTAATGGCTGAAATTGCCATACAGGCGTTACGCTCTCCTGAGAAATAGTGAGAGGCACGTAGCCTGGCAGACGTCAATGAAGAAAGTGACGTGAGTCCACCTCCAAAAACTAAACTTAAATGATAGGCTTTAACAATGCAATTTACAACGCTTGCAATAAAATTTGAAACTAACCTTATGGAATACTCTCTTTCATACTTAAGAAGATCCGAGTGTCTAGCAAGTCAGTGCTTCAAAGGTAAGTAAGACCTTTACAGGTATATCTCGGCAACAATGAGTCCACTTGGTTTGTGGATGATACCCCCAGCATAATTGGTTGTACTGAACTTATCGCATGTCCAAAAATCTAAAGAATGGCAAGCCATTACTAGGTCATGGGTTTCTGGATGTGCTCGCACGAAGTATAGTACAACTGATGGTTATGAAATAAACTATCTTAATAAATGACTCCATCTTCAACATTTTTGTCGTATATGTACGTATGAAGTTTTATGCCGTAGTAAAGGCGTAAATGGTTGTCCCTTGTCAGCTTTTGTGCGGCCAGTTTACCGGATCAAATCTTTTGGTCTCCCGAAAGTATTTTGCCACATTAGTGGAGGGGTACAGGCCCGGGAGAACAAGGGGCTGGAGGCGGGAGCAGAAAAAGCCGAACCTAGCTAAGTTTTTGACTTCCATTTAATGCCCACCCAGAAGGGAAATTTCGTTTCTTTATTACGTCCAAGGTCATGTATGAGGTGTCATGAAAAATCGGCGAAATTGTCGGTGTCTTTCAGCTGTATCAGTAGAAAATTGTCCAAAGTGAGTAAGGTCAAATGTCGTCAAATGTCATTGTTGATCAGCCTCATTTTAGGCGTCGCAACGGAAAATCAGTCTGTATAAGACCTTGTTTCTGCTATTGACAATCACGTAGCTAAATTATAGCAGTGTAGAAATTTATCAATCAACGTATGTACAACGATTCAACCTTTCCGGAGAGGTTTAAAGAATATTTCAACTCCTCGAAGAAATCTGAATAATTATAGTATGTGACAACCAGCCGGACAAAGTAATGTACAATACCAGAGCTGAAAATAAACGCTCAAAATGCAAATGTTTGTACACTTCCTGTGCAGTGATACGAATCACTCACTGAATCTAGCTTTCATATTGCTCACGACAATAGCTACTGCCGAAGAAAAGCGAACATTACACGCGATGGGTATTCAATTAGCTGATTAAAAGCAGGGCCAGTCCGTAATAAATCCATACTATTAGATTTTACACTAGTCGGTAATATTTTACGCCAGTAACTACCGGCGTAATTTCTTCTAGTCAGTTGTGTTTATTTGTACGATTTTACGCCAGTAACTAACGGCGTAAATTTCTTCCAGTCGCTACTATTTATATGTAAGATTTTACGCTAGTAACTAACGGCGTAAATTTCTTCCATTTGGTTATATTTATATGTACGATTTTACGCCAGTAACTAACGGCGTAATTTCTTGCAGTCGGTTGTGTTTCTATGCACGATTTTACGCCAGTAACGAACGGCGTAATTTCTTGCAGTCGGTTATGTCTATATGGAAGATTTTACGCCAGTAACTAACGGCGTAATTTCTTGCAGTCGGTTGTGTTTATATGGAAGATTTTACGCCAGTAACTAACGGCGTAATTTCTTCCAGTCGGTTGTGTTAATATGGAAGATTTTACGCCAGTAACCAACGGGGTAATTTCTTCCAGTCGGTTGTGTTTATATGTACGATTTTACGCCAGTAACTAACGGCGTAATTTCTTGCAGTCGGTTGTGTTTATATGTACGATTTTACGCCAGTAACTAACGGCGTAATTTCTTGCAGTCGGTTGTGTTTATATAAACGATTTTACGCCAGTAACTAACGGCGTAATTTCTTGCAGTCGGTTGTGTTTATATGTACGATTTTACGCCAGTAACTAACGGCGTAATTTCTTCCAGTCAGTAGTTTTATATGTACGATTTTACGCCAGTAACTAACGGCGTAATTTCTTGCAGTCGGTTGTGTTTATATGTACGATTTTACGCCAGTAACTAACGGAGTAATTTCTTCCTGTCGGTTGTGTTTATATGTACGATTTTACGCCAGTAATTAACGGCGTAATTTCTTCCAGTCGGTTGTGTTTATATGGACGATTTTACGCCAGTAACTAACGGCGCAATTTCTTCCAGTCGGTTGTGTTTATATGTACGATTTTACGCCAGTAACTAACGGCGTAATTTCTTGCAGTCGGTTGTGTTTATATGTACGATTTTACGCCAGTAACTAACGGCGTAATTTCTTGCAGTCGGTTGTGTTTATATGTACGATTTTACGCTAGTAACTAACGGCGTAATTTCTTGCAGTCAGTAGTTTTATATGTACGATTTTACGCCAGTAACTAACGGCGTAATTTGTTCCAGTCGGTAGTTTTATATGTACGATTTTACGCCAGTAACTAACGGCGTAATATCTTGCAGTCGGTTGTTTTATATGTACGACTTTACGCCAGTAACTAACGGCGTAATCTCTTGCAGTCGGTTGTTTTATATGTACGATTTTACGCCAGTAACTAACGGCGTAATTTCTTGCAGTCGGTTGTTTTATATGTACGACTTTACGCCAGTAACTAACGGCGTAATTTCTTGCAGTCGGTTGTGTTTATATGTACGATTTTACGCCAGTAACTAACGGCGTAATTTCTTCCAGTCGGTGATATATATATATGTAACATTTTACGCCAGTAATATAAATTAATTATATTTTAATTTATTACAATTAAATCACCGACTGGGTTAGTGGCGTAAAATCTAACAGTATATAGACTGTGTTAGTCACATATTACGCCGTTATCTAACTACCGTCTGGAATGAGCTACCTGTGGAGCTTCGTCAAGCAACATCACTTAACAGTTTTAAATCTCGACTTAAACCCTATCTTTTTAAGAAGTATTTTTTATAGTTTGTAACTTAGTTTATTTTATTCTCACGGTAATGTATTTTCGTTTTCTTTTAAACATATGATTGTAAAGCGCTATTGATCAGCACATGTAAATACGCGCTATATAAATTGGTAAATTATTATTATTAAATTATTATTATTATTTCCATGGGAAAACAGAGGGCTTCCTTCAGGTCTCACTCAATGCCCTATTGTTTTTCAAATGTCATAGGAATTGTAAGACAAAACCTGCAAGCATTGCAGAATAAGCTGATCGCAAGTGGAGGTCTTCTGGGTTTATAGTTACGGCAAGCCATCAGCTTCAAAATGGCTAATTTTTTAGCCTAATTTGTCAATACTTGGCCCCAAAATTGATTATCGTCATTTTCTGCTGAAACAAAACACCATTTCACAAATGGACCCCGTAGTGATAAATAGTTCAATATGGACTACTACTAGTCAAAGTTTGAGTGATTTTGAAATTTGAATTTCCTGCTCAATTCTTGATTTTTGTTGACACACTCACTTAAGCTAACAAAGACTAATATCTAATTTGACAACAGTTACCTGGCTCCCCTAAATTGAGCTAACCAATTTAATAACAAGTTAGGCCGTGTTTACACTAAAGCGTTTACTGCAGCTTTATTTTACCAAGGTCAAGTTACTAAACCATGGTACATCTGTTTCTTGTTTATAATAGGTCAAATAACCTAAGGCAGGGGTTGCACTGTACTCTTATTTTTTTTTATGTCATGTCATAAGTTGTCCCAAAAATGTCACGACATTCACACCACAGGAGTCATGGAGGTCGCACGTGCATGACATAAATGATATTTGAAACCAGACTGTCGACTCTTAATATTTCACGCGCGAAAAGAGCGCCAAATATCATTTCGTAGACATGAGACTGATGCTAGTTTTATTAGTGACATTTCTTCAATCTCTGTTTAATTTGTTCAATGTACATAACCTTATTGGTTTATGCGCATTGTGCAACACTCACCAATGGCAAATGGGGACTGCAAAACGTGGACCCCCTTATGGATCCCCCTAATTAGATTAAGAAAGGATGAAAATAATAAATACCTGGTGCCACTTAGGAGGTTGTAATCAAAGTGGTATTTCATGCTACAAACATTTGCCTGAATCTTCAAAAAGTGCCACTAGAAATGTTAATTCTCCCGTGTCATGAGGAGCTTTGGCCCTGAAAAAAATTCGCAGCATGCATTCTATGGAGGCGCTATATTTCTGTCATCAGTGTAGAGAATTACATCAACATTTGCGGTCGGTAGGTGTTTATGCAGTTACTTAAACCTGTTGATTATAAGTTAAAGATTCACCTAATAATTAATACTGCATCTATGCTCGAATTTTAAATACGAAAACACAAGAAATCTGGCGTTGAAATCACTTGGCGTGATCTTATCATGGAGGCTGAAGTCTTCGATCGATCGGCTGAGCTTTCTACAGTTACGGGATCCAATCTCAACCCCAAAAAGTCCTGGTATATGCTAATGAAAAGTTAACGGGAAATCAGGCCGAAAGCTTTTGCAAAGAACGAATTGTTTCGTCAATTCTGCGATGACTACAATACCTTCTGTCCCACCAGCAGGTCTCAAGCGTGCCAACAAAGGCTGTTTGTTCAACGCCAGGTAACCAAACAACATGCATGTTATATCTTCAAGTAATCTCTGTGTCGGACTAATTAGACAGGGAGAAATCCAGCAGATGGATTCGTGAGGTCTCAAAACATAATTTTGTTGTTGATGTGGTAAATCAAATCGCCCTCGACCGTACACTTTAGGCAGGAAATGCCTCCAGTTAAAATATCATGGGAAATTGCAATGATGTCAGTCAAGAATAGCTGAGCTTGACAAAGACATTCGGGAACTAGTAAAGGATAATAATTATATAAGTTAATGGTGGTTGCCTCAACTTTCAGTCAAAAGAAAGAGTCCAGACAAAGAGCGGTCTTCTGATATAAATTAGTGTGAATTCAATTTTTTGTGCCCTCTTGGGTGGTGTATACCTGAGGGTTTTTTTAATCTCTTGCATACCCTCTTGGGTAGTGTGTACCTGAGGGTTATTCTTTATCTGTCCTATACCCTCTTGGGTAGTGTTTCCATGAGGGTTATTTTTAATCTCTTGCATACCCTCTTGGGTAGTGTATATCTGAGGGTTATTTTTAATCACTTCTATACCCTCTTGGGTAGTGTATACCTGAGGGTTATTCTTTATCTGTCCTATACCCTCTTGGGTAGTGTATACCTGAGGGTTATTTTTAATCTCTTCTATACCCTCTTGGGTAGTGTATACCTAAGGATTATTTTTAATCACTTCTATACCCTCTTGGGTAGTGTATACCTGAGGGTTTTTTTAATCTCTTGAATACCCTCTTGGGTAGTGTATACCTGAAGGTTATTCTTAACCTCTCCTATACCCTCTTGGTTAGTGTATACCTGAGGGTTATTTTTAATCTCTTCTATACCCTCTTGGGTAGCATATACCTGAGGGTTATTTTTAACCTTTTCTTATCCCTCCTAACTCGGCAGTCGCATAAGACGATATTCATACATGTGAATTTGTTCCCAATGACCTAAAATGCAATAACATTGTTTTAGACCAGCTTCTCCCCTGTTATTGTCGATTTTGGCAAGACTGATGTCTTCGGAAAAGCTAAAAATGCTGTTTCAAACTGAAACCTTCGCACACAAAAGGTAATTATAAGAATAATTGCATTGCACCGAAGCTTGAAGACCGAATGAGGAGACCATCAGTTGAAAGCAATGTGTATTCTCTGGATTACCTAATCAACACAGTTTCTGGACTTTAAAAATTAAAAACCATGACCTGTATGAAGAAGGGTTTGTCGGAGTTAACCTTACATAGGCCTAGATCTTCGATCATGGAGGTGAAATCAGCTCTACCGGTGCTGCTTTTTAGGCTATTTTTTAGTCTCTTCATTTTACTTGTTTTAAATTGTTCCTGTTATATGTATCTCTAACATTTGGTCAGGAATATTTGTGGACCTTGTGTTAACGATTTACTGTTGTCTGCTTTGAGACATGTATTTTCTCTACAGAGAAAATTAGCTTAGCGTACCGCCCTTTAAGTTTTTTCGAATTAGACCCATTAAGTTTGTATTAGACATTTCTCCGGACTCTTGTTTCTGGAAAATGAGTGAACAAAGTAGAGTTGCATCTTGAAAATGATTAGAATTGTAATCATCGGAAGTTGTGGTTTTTTCCATTTCATTCGAGGGGAGCATAATTACATTTTTTGGAAGCGATTATCGGATGTCCTGGAATGTTTAGCGAACACCTCATGCCGCCAAGAGGCGTCGAACGTTGGCTTGAATTACTTATGCAAATTAGCTGGTTGCACATTGAATGTGCAGCCAGCTAATTTGCATAAAAATTTTTTCCAACGCAAAGCTCGTCATGTATCGTGGAATCCATTTTGTTTCTAAGTTAGAGTGGGGACCTTGGCAAAAGGCTACAAAACGTCCGGTCTTTTCCTCCAATTGACTCATCAGATTATTCTGGCATTTTAATTGGGTCAACATTTTCGTAACTAAGGGTAAAGTAGACCCGAATGATTAGCATTTTCCGATCATCGTAGTGACGTCATCTCCCAACTGCACTGTAAACTCTTCGGAAATTAACATGGCAGCGTAAGCGTGAAACCAGTAGTTCATGTTGCGGGCAATTGCAGGCTGTAAGCTCAGACTAGGTCATGCATCTTTTTGGTTTATGGAGTTGCAGACTAATAAGCAGTTCAGCAGTTCGCAGGACAAGTAGAAGGATGTTTCTGAAGGAACTCACGAGCTGGCCTATTCGATCGATCTACCTCACCTGATGCTCTGTGGACTTTGCACAGGACAGTACGTAACATAGGGTGAGGATTACTATTATTATTTCGAGAGATCTAAGCTATGAAGTTCAGTGTCTATCTTATACACTCTGTTTTTTGGCCTTCTTTGTTTAAGTGATGGAACTTTATTCAATATTAGTATTATTTTTCTGTGTCAAAATTTCAATCAAATATATGAGCTTACATGTATCCTAATAATAATAATTACTTGAAAAACATTACTTGAAAAATTGGTTAAGAACAACAAATTCTGAGCAAGTTATGCACCAATCAAATCATTGCCTCTTCACCTTCATTGTATGCCCACTGGGCAACCGTGCATCTGACTGATTGTTATGTCCCTGGGGTATGGATTTTGTATTGATAATCATATGAATGTGAGTGCAATTAATGATTTACACTACAAGTGATATTTACATGAGCCTGTAAGCGAGTGCAATTTGAAAGAACTTTCAAATATTGCAAGTTGTAGAAATCCTTAATTGCTAGAGCTTTCCAATACGATTACTCATTTATAATAGGACTGAGAAAATTACAAACGTGCTTGCATCAATTAGCACTGCAGTGCAAATTAAAAATTAATGATAAATTTGCCTGCTATCAGTCAATCACAATGAAGTCATTTTCTCAGTCATATGACAAGAACTGAAACCTTCTGGTGTGAGATATTTTTAAAATCGACTTACCCCATGCATGAGGCCTTATGGACAAAATGGTGTGAAGAAGCTTGGTGACAAGTAATTCATGTATGCCATTTATTGTTTTGATTGTGATGGCAAAACAAGGGATCGAGTAAACACTCTAACAAATCTAGCCTGCATGCAGACGTCTTCACATTCAAAAACGTGAAGGAAAGAAAATATGAAATGTCTGCATGCAGACTAGAACAAACCTTTACACCAAATAAATTGCTCAAGAGAAAATATAGAAATTAAATGAAATGCCACTTATTTGTTCATATAATTGCTCCTGCCAAAATGTTCTTTGATCCCATCTTTGCCATGGTATTTCTGCATTTTTGACAGTTCCATTGTAGCCGTGATTTAATGACCCATTCTGGTATTGAGACACAGTGAGAATGATACAAGCCATGGCACGAAAAACATTCCACATACTCTTGCCTATCTTTAGGGAGCCTGCAAAGGCAAAAGATTGGTACTGAGATACTGTTGCAGCCCAGATGAAATGGTACTCGTTTATCAGTTTTTGGAAAAGGGACCATCGCCCCGGACTCCAGACAGGTAACATAGTGTTGCCACATCTCCTTCTGGCTGTACCTCTGTGATGTTGGATCTAGATCATAGCACAAGTCAGTGGCAAATGCTAAAGCAAATAAGGCACAGTAACTGCTGCCAACCTGCTTTTACATCTTTTCATTAAGAGGATGAGGATGATGCAGCATGCGACAAGCGTGGTTTAATGCAAATGAACTCAGCTTACTGTACAAGCTGTCAAATACTCTAACAATGCCAGCCTGACACCCAAGGGTACTTATGCACACCCAGTGTGCCCCAATGTTG